AAAAATATCAATTAGCATGTGAATTGATCATTTGACTTGTATAATAAAAAACCTACACTATAGTTCTCAAAATGTGTTTAAGAAAAAAACTTTACATCAAAACTTTCTAGATAGAAGAGTGATTTATAAATAGCCCCCCAAAACTCTAAAACACAATTATTCATGTTTATTTATAATAAATTAATGTTTATTATGTAGTTATTTGTATCGATTAACATATATAAAATATAATATAATTATTCACTCTTACTAGCTCGTTTTCTAAATTAAGAGCATCTAACTATTGTTTGCTAATAGTATGCCAAAAAAGAACTATAAAAAATAGTGACCAATTTACCATATTACTTAATATCTTCTGTATGCTTGATGTGTTTTCATATGATCACGGTATATTAAGGCAGAAAGAATTATATTTTATTAAACTTTAGAATTCCTCGCAAGTGCTCTGGTTTGTCTATAGGGAGGCTCTGAAGTGAATGGGAATTCTGGCTTCTCATTCTACTTCAGTGGATCAGCTTCAGCTTCATTTGTTTTATATATAAAGAGTCAATCTTAGACATTGTTCTGACACACTAGCTCCAAGTCAAAAAATAAAATGTTTGAAAGCTACTGATCAAATGCTACTCGTTTAAATAAACTAAGAAATATGCCAGGGGATGCAAGAAAATCCCTTACCTACATTTAGGAGGTGAATGCTTGTTTGATGCAGGAAATTGGTCCAAGGGTTGTGCATTGAGTCACCTCTACATTTAGACTAAGAAATACTTTAAAAATACCTTAAGTTGATTACTCAAAGTCACACAATGTTTGTAGAAGAGGAATCAAAACTAGAAAACTGGGTTTTTAACTCTCAGTCGATTTTATCTTTCTCAGGTTATCAGACAGTTTTATACATGGATCTAACTCTGCAGTTAAGACATTGTAGATTGTTACAGTAAAAGCCCAAGTGGATCATATCTGCCTATATACAGGTTTTGTGTAGTCTCCCTTCCCTTGTTGACCTAGCCTTGGCCATGTAACTTGTTTCAGCCAATGGATCATTTAAGAATGTGAAAGAGGCAGATATTTGAAAAGTACTTGTACATTGCAGCTCTTCCTTTTTGCTACTGGTAATTCTGTTCTCTGTGAAAAAGACTGGGTTCATCTCACAGAAGATAAGGGAGCTCATGTACAGAATTCCAGATGAGGTGCAAAGACCACAGTCAATACTCAGGATACACACAGGTCCAAATACCCAGCTAGTACCAAATAGGTATCCCAAATAAGCTTAGGCCACAGAATTATGAACAATTAAATAGTTGCTTTAAATCAAGCGTTGGAGTAGTTTTTTCTATAGTGGTAGGATGACCAAAACAGCAGTGTTGACTTATTTTTCCAACTATGACCTATTCTGGCATCTAAACATAGTACATTTTTATGGGTTATTTGAAAACTGTAGATCTCACTGATTTCTTTCAATAGTCAATGTTATATAAAATTCAGCATTCTTTCCTTCAAAATATTTCCTCTTTATTCTCCTTTATCTTATTCAATAACTATAATTTAGTAAATTTAGATAAATTTGGTTATCCTTAATTATAGAAACTTGGCAACTGCCACAATTGCCAAGACACTTGTAAGGAAAAGGTAGCAGGTGAACTACGTGTGAACTGGTTACAAATGAAAGGGACAGATCCAGATTTTCCTTAACATCTGTTACGCCCAGGTCAAAAGTAGAAATGGAAGCCCACATCTCATATGTCTAAATTTTAAAAGAAATAAATCAAACTAACACATTTTAAATAGAAAACATTCTATTATTCTCCCTCGAAAAATATAACTTTTCACCAACCTGGAAGACCAAGTATGAATTTAGAATTATTTGTCTTCTCAGTTTTGTACTAGAAAATGATAACACAGTGTAGCTGGGTCCTGGCCAGGTGCCCACCCCATTCTTTTCTTTCCTTCACCTCTGACATGTACAATAATGGTTCTTATGTTTAAGCATACCTTAGACCACATATTTATTCTTGATCCACACCTTCCCCTTAACAACCACCTCTTAGTTGCTGCATAATTCTAAGAGTTTTCCATGAGGAGGACTGAACTAGGGAAGAGTCCTGTGCAAGCACTTTAAATGGGATCAAGCCACTTTGGATTATGAATTATGGTATTTCATGAACTTAAAACATGAGTGGGACTGGGCTTCATGTAGGCCTATCCTACTGTGTCATGTACTCTTTGCACATGTAGAGAGGGGCAATACCAAGTCTGTGTGTGTGTTAAGTTGGGTAATTCCAACAGCAGACCCTGAGATCAGGTCTTCAGAGCAAGTAGTTTCAGAGGTGATCTCAGAAAACATAGGTAGCGGAGTAGAAGACATGAAGAGAAGACATTAATTTAGAGGGTGTAAATGAGAAGGTTACCACTGTGGGCAACTGAAGCTCAATTCTGCTAGAAACCTCTGATAGTTGGTGTAGAATTCACCTCAGAGTTATTCTACCTAAAAGGCAAGGAAGCAGGGTTATTTTATTTACTTATTCATTCATTCATTTAGCCAATTTCAATTCATTATTGGTTCAGAACTGTTCCTGCAGACTTTTTTGGCCACTTCTGGATTGATCCATGTGATGACAGACCACCATTTTATGTCTAGAGCAAGCTCTCCGGGAGAAAGTTACAATTTTCAATAAATTATTATTTGCTATTAAATAGCTAGTGCTCTTTTTCTGTTATGAAAATAAGAACGAGTTGTTTAAATTTTCTATTCTAAACAGTTTTATCTAAATTACCAATTCTAAATATTTTATTTCAGTCTGTTTGCACAAAAGAAAAATGGGATTTCTTTATTTCTGTTATTAAAGCAACAAAGTTTTATAAAATATCTCTCTTGATTTGTTCTATTGAGATTGGCATAACCTAAATACATCTCTCAAGATGAATGTAATCAATGAACAACAGATGATAAATTGTGTCTTACTGTCCTTTTTGCCAAAAAAAAAAAAAAGATTCTAAAATTAACTGGGCACGGTGGCTCACGCCTATTATCCCACTGCTTTGGGAGGCCAAGGCAGAAGGATTACTTGATCCCAGGAATTCGAGACCAGTCTAGGCAACATAGCAAGATACCATCTTTATAAAAACAAAAAATTAGTGGAGCATGGTGGTGCATGCCTGTAGTCCCAGTTACTCAGGAGGCTGAGGCAGAATGATTGCCTGAGCCCAGGTTAAGGCAGCAGTGAGTCATGATCATGACACTGCACTCCAGCCTGGGCAACAGAGTGAGACTCCGAAACAACAACAACAGCAACAAAAACAACATAAATAAGTAAATACATAAATAATGTTCTTGCATCAGTGATGGTTGTCTTAGCATATAAACTGCAGTACGTTTGAAAACAACTTGCCTTCTTAACATTTCAGGTGCTAATACCATAATATGTCTGGTTCATTGCTTGTTATGCTTGATTTGTTTTCTTGGTTTCAGAGTACTTCCTTGCACAGAATTAGGCTTCCAAACACTTTAAAAAATCATTTGTTCTTCATTGGTTACTTAAATATTTAAATATTAACAGTGAAATTTGTTTTATGTTCTTATACTGTGTTCTACTTTAAGGTGGTGATATTATTATTATTATTATTTTTTTTTTTTATTGGAGTCTCACTCGGTTGCTCAGACTGGAGTGCAGCGGCCACTCCCGGCCACTGCAGCCTCGACCTACTGGGCTCCGGCAATCCTTCTGCCTCAGCCTTGCGAGTAGCCGGAATTACAGGCATGCGCTACCACGCCCGGCTGATTTTTTGATTTATTGTAGAGATGAGGTCTCGCTGCCCAGGCGGGTCTCGAACCCGCAGGCTCAGGCAATCCACTCACCTCAGCCTCCCAAAGGCGCGGGATTACAGGCTGAGCCATCAAGCCCGGCTAGGTTGTGATATTATTATAACAATTATATCATTTTATGGAGAATAAGAAAATTGCAACCTTCAAAGGAAAACTGGTATCGCTTGAAAGGAAAGGACCAGAATAGATACTATGCCCACCATAAGAAATAATATTAGCTATTAACTTAAGGTAAATGTTATAACAAGGTGCCATGTGAAGTAGTAATAGAAATACTTACTTCTGCTTCCTTTATTTATTCACTATGAAAAAATATATACTTTTTTTGAGTTGGAGTCTCACTCTGTCACCCAGACTGGAGTGCAATGGCCGCTTCCAGCCACCGCAGCCTCGACCTGCTGGGCTCCGGTGATCCTCCTGCCTCAGCCTTCCAAGTAGCTGGAACTACAGGCGTGTGCTACCACGTCCAGCTAATTTTTTTGATTTATTGTAGAGACGCGGTCTCGCCAAGTTGCCCAGGCGGGTCTTGAACCCGTGGGCTCAGGCAATCCACTCACCTCAGCCTCCCAAGGCATGGGATTGCAGGCTGAGCCACCAAGCCTGGCTGAAAAATTATTTTTATCTGTTGTCCAAGTTGAAAATTATTTTGATTGTTATGAGACAAAGCACCTGTAAGTCAGAGAAATGTGGCAGACAGTAAAGCTTACCAACTATTCTATGTCTGTCTCATTTCTCAGTCCCCTTTCAGTTAGATAGAGCCATGTGTCTGGGTCTGGTCAATTAAATTTTGATACGTGTTAATTCTGATCTGAGCACTGAACAGCCGTTGAAAAGCCTTCTAACCATTCTTCTTCCCCTGACCTGTCAAGCAAGGAGGAAAGGTGTTTGTGATGGTACAGTTGCAATATAGTGGTATCTTTCACAGTATGGAGAACTGAGTGACTTTATGGAGCAGAACTTTCTCCAACCTATGCAGGATATATACTGTCATTGATAAATAAACTGACATGGTAAGTTCTGGGGATTTAGGCGTAGTGTGTTACCTCAGTGAAAACTAGTCTATTCTAGGCTGTAAATACAATTTAAACAATCATATTAAACATTGCTTACCAAGATAAATTTTAGAATTTATACCGTTTAAAATGATTGAACAAGTTTTTAATTATTTTGATAACTGCAGATGGATCTGTTTCGGTTCCTTTACGATTTGTTCCTCTTGGTCCTGGACGCTACCCTTGTAAAATTTTGTTGACATCAAAGTATGATGTGCGTGTCTATTACATTGAAGGTGTGGTGAATGAAGAACAACCAGAAGCCAGATTTGAGTTTGAAACACCAGCGTTTAAAGCCCTTACCCAGAATATTCCAATAGTATGTATACACTTTTATTTTGGTACTTTTCTTTACTTCCATTGCTGCTGTGTCAATTAAAGTCCACCAAACCTCTCATCTTGAACTATTACAGATTTTTAATTGAATTATATGCTGTCCATTATTTTTTCACATTAATGTCACAGTATCTTCCTGAATATAAATGTTATCTTGTTTCTCACCTGACTAATCACTTCTGCTGGATCTTTTTGCTTAAAAAAATTTACTTCAATGTCCTAAATGTGATTAAATTCCTACTGAAAAGCTATGCCTCCTGACTTCAATAAGTAGGGTTATGGGCTCTCAGATCACTTTACTCCAAATTGTGTTGTGATCTAACACTTGATTAAGATATGTTCATAGGCACTGAGAACAATGATTGGCTATAGCTTGGCCACCTATTAGTCAAAGTGATAACATAGCATAAGAGAAGATGTTGTAATTGTAAGGAATTTTGGATTTTTAGAATGATAAATTTATTTTTTGTTGTTTATTTGCTTAATTATTAAAGACATGAGAAAATTAGCTTGAAGCACAAAAATCTGTTCTGATGTGATATGAATATTGGCTATCTGAGCAATCTACCAATCAGCGCCTGTTATAACCCTTAATTAGAAGTAAAGTGTGTCCTCCAAGGCCATTTTGTCATTTAAACAGTAATTTCAGACAAAGGGATGAGTCTCTAGATATTAAATACTTTTTGGATAGACCTATTAGGCAATGCTCCTGTATGACATAGAAAGAGCATGTAGTTATCCTTATGCCTTATGTTCACATTTTTGACCTTTGTTCTTAATAAATATCACTTTCTAATGGTGATTCTTAAGAAGTACAGTTAAAATACAATATATAATTTTATAAAAATTACCAAGATTAATATGTAATTGAACTTCATCAACATCATCCCTCTGACTTTTTGTATGTCTTTTTCATGCCTTAGAAAAATCAGTCAAAGCATGAATGGAAATATCAGGTCACCATAGAAGGAAAATGGTTTTATGGACCTTCTATTTTAAGTGTTGGACCAGAGGAAACTGCGCAATATCCTCTCACATTCAAACCTATTTTGGAATGTGAGATTATGGTATGAGTTCAATTATTTTTCCCGAGTTTTAATATATCAATAAACTAATATATGATATTAGCCTATTTAATTCATGATACAACCTTTTTGCAAAGAGTTAATAATTTCCATGAATTTGATTGCTTTTTGCTTGAAACTTTAGTATATATTTTAACTTGTGGGATAAATATTGAAAGTCACAATGACATTGTCTGAATATTTGCATCAAGATTATTTTTATACAACATGATGAACAAAGTAAAATCATTACTCTTGGCTGAGTGCGATGGCTCACACCTCCAATCCCAGCACTTTGGGGGGGCTGAGGTGAAAGGACTGCCTGAGCCCATGGGTTCAAGACCAGCCTGACAACTTGGCGAAACTGCAGCTCTACAATAAATCAAGAAAAATGAGCCGAGCATGGTGGCATATGCCTGTAGTTCCAGCTACTTGAAAGGCTGATGCAGAAGGATCGCCTGAGCCCAGCAGGTCGAGGCTGCGGTGACCATGAGGGTTCCACTGCACTCCAGCCTGTGCGATAGAATAAGACTTTGATACAAAAAAAAAAAAAAGAAAAGAAAAATCATTATTTTTTTGTTCCGATTCATAAGAGGAGTTGGTACATCAGAGAATACTTTCAAAAGACAATATTTCTTTGGCACAGAAATAAATGTGCATATAATTGCTATGTATGAGAATGCTTACATGCACTCTGTAATTTAGAGAAAGTAACAAGAAATAAAGAGTTTTTCACCAGAAATTTGTCTTTATTTGTTCAGTAGAAGTATTTATTTGTGAACGGAAAAGTCAATGGCTGATACTTACAAGCTCATTTCATTAACCAGACTCAAGATTAATAAGATAGCAGAGATTGTTGTTTGACATTGAACTATGACTCCTGTAGAGCTGAAATTTAACTGGTTTCTTATAGGGTAAACTTATTCTAGAAAATGAAGTGGATGGTATGGAGCATATCTTTGTCATAAAAGGGGTTGGAAAAACACCTGTGGCCTTGGAACACATCACTGTGGAATGTCAAGTGGGGAAAATAACTGATAAATACATAACGCTGCCTGATTATACAAACACTATCTCAACATTAGAGGTAAGAATTTGGGGGGATGAAAGTGTTTTCTTCTGAATATATTGAATTCTATGAAATATAATGATTTCATGAACTTTTAAACATTTAGTTTTACATTTAGTTTTACATAATTTAGTTTTACAATGTTACATGAGAGGTGTTTACACTCCTATCTATTATTAGTCCAACGGTGATTAAATTTCATTTTAATTATAAAGTTGAATTAGCAACAAAAAGGTTTTGTAATTAAGCATTAGTATATAATAATAAAACATTAAAATTTACTTATTTGAGTCATATGTACTTTTGCTTGACAAAATTGTATATGATAATAAAAGGTATTTTCAAAAATACTTAGAAACAGCTTTTAAAATTGTAATGTGAAATCTGTAGGTACAATAATATTTTAGAAGTGTATCCTATCATAACCAGTGTGAGTAGTAGTGGAAATATTAAGAAATACATAATTGTTTACAACCTTATTTTTGTATGAAACATTGTGCCCTGCTCTCCGCACTTGATTTGTTTAAGCTAATTTTTAAATATAAATTTGCACCTCACACTCTTAGCTTTCTGCACAAATTGTTACCAGAGAGGACCCAAAAAACCCTGGAATTTATTTATTAAAAATTGTGTACTTATCCTTACATGTTAAAACTTCTGTGACCTTCAAAGTACTCCCTGTTTGATGCATTACACCTACGGAGACAGTATTTTCACTGCTCAAAACAGTTTTTGAGCTCATCAACTTTGATGCCATTTAGTGCTTCTGCCATTTTGGGTTTCACCTCTTCCACACTGGCAAAACATTTCCCTTGGAGGACATTTTTTATATGGGAAACAAAAAACAGTCACTGGGTGAGATCAGATTAGAGAGGGTGGGGCATGAGCGTCATGCCATTTTGGGTCAAAAACTGCTAAACTCTCAGTATGATGTGGGCAGGTGCACTCATAAATTACCCATCATGAAATGAGCAAGCGTGTTGAAAGAATCTTGAAAAAAATCGCTGGAGCTGAATGCAGCCTCTCACAATGCTAGCTAGTATACACTGATGCCGAAGGATTCCTAGAACACTTACCTAGAAGAGAAGGCCTGTCTTACAAGTCTGCCCTCCAAAAAAAATAATTCTCGTTTGTTTTGGGTCCCCTTATATGTGATCAGTAGGATATTCAAAAAAAACTTCAAATAGATACCCATTTTAGGAGGGACCACTGAAGATCCTAAACTCTCTGGATTTGGCCTTTACTTTTTTTGTAATCTTGAAAAAAGTGTGCCTTGGTTTTCTTCTCTTTACTAGATTGCAAAGGAAATTGATATTCTAAATTCTTAGTTTGTTATTTCCAACTAAAACCTTTCAATGCTATCTCTTACCTTCGGAATCAAAGTCAAGTTCTTTGACCATTTTTTAATTGGATTATTTGGTCTAGTTTGCTTGTTTGCTATTGAGTTGTATGTGTTCCTTATATATTTTGGATATTTTCTCTTATCAAATATCTAATTTGCAAATATTTTCTCCCCACTCCATAGATTGTCTTTCATTTTGTTGATTGTTCCCTTTGCTGTGAGCTCTATGAACTCTATGCCAGAATGTCTGGCATTGTTGTCCTGTGTTCTGAATGCTATTCACCCTTTATTTTATGTCATTCTATATTCCTTGTTTCCTTGACGTTTCTTGACTATTATATGTAATCAATTTCTTTCTTTCTTTCTTTCTTTCTTTCTTTCTTTCTTTCTTTCTTTCTTTCTTTCTTTCTTTCTTTCTTTCTTTTTCTTTCTTTCTTCCTTCCTTCCTTCCTTCCTTCCTTCCTTCCTTACTTACTTCCTTCCTTCCTTCCTTCCTTCCTTCCTTTCTCTCTCTCTCTCTCTCTCTCTTTCTTTCTTTCTTTCTTTTGAGTTAGAATCTCACTCTGTCACCCAGGCCGGAGTGCAGTGGCACACTCGCAGCCAACGCAGCCTCTACCTGCTGGACTCAGGCAATCCTTCTGCCTCAGCCTTCCAGGTAGTTGGAACTACAGGCATGCGCTACCATACCCAGCTTATTTTTTGATTTATTGTAGAGAGGAGGTCTCACCAAGTTGCCCGGGCTGACCTCAAACCCCTGCACTCAGGCAATCCTCTTACCTAGGCCTCCCGAAGTGCTGGGATTACAGGCTTGAGCCACCGTGCCCGGCCATTTACTTATTTATTTTTTTATCTCTCCAAACTTCTGACTTATTTTCAAGTTTCATTCATCAAAAATTATCCTTTTGTCTATACAACCTCCCACTTGCCAGTTTCCTAGTTTTAAGCTATCATCTAGGCTCAAATGCTAAACTCATATTTTTACCCAAGATGTACTGCTGGCTATACCCCTCCATTTTGGCAATTTGCTACCACCTCAAACCCAGTATTTTCTTTTTAGGTCTTTTCCTTATTCTATTTTTTATTGCTGCTAGTAGCTGTATTTACTATGCTTTGTATTTCATGTTTTTAAAAATACACTATATCATATTGGTATAAGAAAAGTTTGAAATAGAAGGTTGGGACTCTCTTAATATAAAAGAGAAAATAAAAAATCAAAGAACACAATTGAAATGTAGGTAAAATTCTACGGAATTTCATCAAAGTAACAAAGTAGTAGAAAATAGTTGTTTAATTAAAAAAAGACAGGAGAAGCGTGACTTTTCAGAAAGGTGGGGCAGGGAGCTTTGTAGATTTATTTTTCTCTAAAAGCAATGAAAACACTGGCAAAAATCGTCAAAATAAAATTTTGTAGTAATCTGTAAATTAAAGACTTGAAACAGTCTGAGGAGTGGATAGTCAAGAAAAAGTCTGAATTCTGACAAAAGCAGAATAGTTTGTGGCGTTTTAACATGACCTATTCTTATCCACTTCTTCTCAGCTCTGTAATCTTGAAACTGTAGTAGCTATGAAAACCAGCTGCCTTGCAATCAAGGGAAGAGGCAGACTAAGTGTGGCTCAGTATTTGACCTTTCTCAAAGTTTACTAACAGCATCTCACTAGCAACGTGTTGTCATTATTTGACTTTCCTATCTTTAGAGCATTTGTCAAAAACTTTCAGCAGCAATTGTATAACATTGCAGTTGTCTGAAGCTATAATGACAGTAGCAACCAAGAAGAGTTTGGCCAAAAACTTTAAAGGAAGATCTAGATTACAAGATGTCCTCAGAGGATATTAAAAGCTCTGACATATTCCTGTGGAAAATGCAGGCCACATGCATATTTCAGGGTTGTGGACAAGCCCAGAAAAGACCTGAGGTTTCCAATTTTTTTACTTCTGGCTGACATAAAGACACTGTGTGAGCTAGAAATTAAGGCTAAGGCAGAGTTTTGAATTACCGAATGCTGAAAGTATGCCACAACGCATATACAGTGCTCCTTGGCAAAGGATAGATTTATTGGTTTTTAGAAATCTGTGACAAATCATTTCTGACCACTAAGCTAGCTTAATAGAAACTTTAGTGGGCAAAAACTATAGTGAATGCAGACATTACAAAATTAGTTCAGAAAAGTCACTAAGTCAGCAAAGAACAAAAACAAAAGCCAAAACAACATGACAAACTGTGGGGAGATGATGATCTGATTTCCAGAGTGGCAATTTTATCTTAAATAAAATGTACAGTTTTCAACCAAAAGAAATTATGAGATAAAAGCAAAAGGAAACAAAGCAGGAAAATATGGTCCATACACAAAAAACAAGTGATTGCAAGAAGTTGTATCTTAGGAAGCCCATATGTTGAATTACTAGACGAAGATTTTAAGGTAAGGCTTGATTTAGCCACTGCACAATGTATACATATATCAAAATATTGTGTTGTGCATAATAAATATATACATTTTTATTTGTCAATTGAAAAATAAGTAAAAGTTTAAATAAACAGTACACCAAATAAAAAAATTAGTGACAAAACTCTAATACTGTTTGATTTTATTATTAAGAAATGTTCATAACAGGCAACTCTGTAGAGACACAAAGTAGATTATTGTTTGCCTGGGCACTGAGAAGTAGGAAGAAGTGAAGACTCAGTAAAATGAAAGTTGGATTATCCAGGGTATGGTCAAATGCTGCTTAAATATTCTTTATTTGCTGTATTAATACTGATGTAGAAACCCCTTGAAATAGTTCATCTCTTTTGCATATTAAATGACATAAGGAGAATTGTGCATGGCTTTTGTGATCTTGATATAAGTAGCAACAGAATATAAACATTGATCTTTCTATAAGAATCATTCCTTTGTTCCATTATTTTATATCTTCTTATATTTTTTCTCCTATTTGTAGGATATTTTCCCTCTGGTTTTCTTTTTTTTTAGTGAATTGTTTTAATGGAAGTATTTAAATTAATTTTCATTTTTAGTATACTTAATTTCAGTGAATTATTTTAATGGAAGTATTTCAATTAATTTCCATCTTTTATATATTTTGCCTTATTACATTGATTTCACATACTGTAACATGCTATAGCACAGGAAAGTAATTTTATGTTGATATTATATAATTCTTATATTATTTTAAATTCTTTTTCTAGGTATCTTCAGATCTTCAAATAGTGTGGGGAAATCGATACATTACCATAGACCCTGATCATGCAACTACATACAATCTATATGTGCGCCCTTGGAAACGTGGTGTATTCAAAGGTATATAATCCATTAATAAAATATTATTTTTAGGTACAATACTAGAATGAAAATGTGATGAAAAGAAAAAGAAATGTAATTTGGATTTCCTCTTTCTCATAAATGACCCAGGGGAAAATTGAATTTTGCATTTCAATCATTAGCTTTCTAAATAATCAGACCTTTGAGGTACACATATTATGTCTATTGCTATATTATCTTAGCAATTTATTCAAACTTATTTGTGGAACAAATTTTTAGAAGTGGAAATATTTAATTAAGTGTATTTACATTTAAAATGTGGCAAATCTTTTTGAACAGTTATGCCAATTTATGAACTCGACAACATTTTATGAGAATATTTATTTATTTATGAGATCGGGCATTATAAAAACATCTATATGTACTTACTTGATATATGAAAAGAAGGTTAAAGGTTAGGTATGTGTGAGACTTTCTTTCTTTGTCTCTAATAAAGCATTTATTTATGCAGATTTCCCTGAACAGAATTATTTGCTCAGGATAGATGGGGGTGAGAGGTTTTCCTACTAGCTTTGGAAGGAAGGTGAATAAAAAGTGAAAAAGAGTAATAGCTCTGAGGGGCTATGATTCCTCAAATACATCAGTTGTGCTTTTGGGAGAGAACTAACTGCCCCATGGCAACTGGATACTGCTAAGGAAATCATTAAAATGTAGATAAGTGGATCCAACTTTAAAAGTGTGGAAAGCAAGCATATATGTAGTAACGACCTTGTGCTCCTTGAAAGTGCTAGCCTCAATAAAGAATGTTTACACAGAAGGGGTTATAGACTACTGCTATAATAAAGAAAGTGCAGAGAGTAGCCTGGCTGTCTATGCTATTAACAAGCAGAAGAAAAGCTTCAGAATGCCAATCACAATGATAACCACTGTAATAAGAATAAGATGTACTATGTAAGAAGAACCACCTGCCCATCCTTACTCCTTGCTTCTATTGTATATAGCCTCAAATGTCAACATAGCAATAGTTGTTAACATCTCCTGAAATCCTATCCTCTCTTTTGAGATATTTGGCTTTATATAACCCATTATTAAGTTTCCATATGGCTGATAGATTTGAGACATAGTGTCTTAATTCCAAGCATTTCAATAAAGTAACACATTTCACCACATTTTAGGTAATCAAAAAACTGTGAATTAATTTTAAAACATTTTAATTTCAGTCTTCATCTCATTTGTCAATGATAGTCTTTTCTTTTCTCTTCTTTTCTTTCTTTCTTTTTTTGAGTCTTTTTCTCACTCTGTTGCCCATGCTGGAGTGCAGTGGCACACTTGTGGTCACTGCAGCCACGACCTGCTGAGTTCCGGCAATCTTTCCACCTCAGCCTTTCAAGTAACTGGAACTACAGGCATGCACCACCATGCCCAGCTAATTTTTTGATTTATTGTAGAGACAAGGTCTTCTCAGTTTGCCCAGGCTGATCTCGAACCTCTGATCTCAGGCAGTCCTCTTGCCTCGGGCTCCCAAAGTGCTGGGATTACAGGCTTGAGCCATCACGCCTGGCTGACAGTCTTTTAGTTGGTGGATTCTCCTTAATTTTAGAGTTTTAACTAGTCTTTTGTGACAGCCAGCATGTCATTAAGAATTAACATAATTATTTTTGATAAAAGATAGTAAATTTTAGTTTCCTGTTCTATAGAAAGCAGGGAGTTCTGCTACTTATGAGAAGTAACATTAGAAGAACCACAAACTGGTATATTAAGTTAAGGATATTTATGATGACCTTAAACAAGCCTCTGGTTCATGAATCAGACTCTTAAACTTATTGAAGCAGACCTAAAAAGAATTAAATAAATAGATTCAGCATGCCTTTCCTTTGTATCAAGACTGATTTTAGCAACTTTTGTGTGACCATAAAATTAGAATACATATTTTCACTAATCAGATATGGAGTCTTTTAATATGTTGGTTTGAAAGAATTTAGAAGGAATTTGGGGAATTTTAATGAAGCTCAAGGTACGTTTTTAAGTGAAGATGAATTAGGTTAATGTTTATGGCTACACAAAAAGGTTTTACAGGTTTTGTAATTTTGAAAAATATTTACAAGACATAATCATGGTAACTTTTCCCAGGGCAACCTTTTAGAGTTGAATTAATCCTGCTATTATGCTTTGGAAAAATCGTCTGTTTAAAAAAAGGCTATCTCCAATTTTTATTGATACTAAAAGACGTAAACAACATATTAAGCAGTGTAAATATCATTGCTTCTGAACATCTGCTAACTAGTCTGAAGTAATAAAAAGAAAACTAGACACAAAAATTTCACACATGAGAATTTTCCCATTTGTACTAGTTAAAGGAGTGCATCAGCGTGTGTGTGTGTGTGTGTGTGTGTGTGTGTGTGTTTGTGTGTGTGTGCGTGCGCCAGTAGTATTTTAAAAAGAATCCGTGCTCACTTTCAATTCTGTTTTTAATTATATAATAATTATATTCTAGAGGTCTATAATTTGGAAAGCCTTAAAGTAGTTGTGAATAAAAGCTGACATTCAACTAATTATGATCTGTTTATTGAAATATTGCAACAATTACTTTTCTATATATGTTAACAAATATTCAGTGTTTGGATCCCCACTGCAGCGTAACCCTTGCCAGTCTAGCCACCACAACCCCTCCCTCAGGGCCCTCTGGAGCCTTCCAACAATCCAGCAGCAGCTAAAAGGTTAACACATAAAGCCTCAGGAACTTCATCAGGTATTCTTTCTGATTGATCGGTGTTGGGATATAGGTTTGTTATTTATTTTGAGTAGTGTCACTATATCTAAAAATGAATATGATTTGGCTCTTGCCTCCCAGGAATTCATGTCTGGTAGTAGAAATAGATATCCACAAATCATCTCAATCAGGCTGCACTCTGATATACCAAAGTTTAATCTTGGCCCTGGGGAGCATGGTAGAAGGAAATATTAATCCCAATAGTGGGGTCTGAGAGGGCTTCATAGGAAATAATGAGTTTGATCAAGACCTTGAAAGGTGACCTGGAATTTATCAGCCAATATGGGGGAAGACCATTCCAGCAGAGGAAACAACCTTATTAAAAACGGAAAGGAGCGGTGGCCAGGAGCGGCCACTGAACTCCAGTCTGGGCGACAGAGTGAGACTCCAACTCAAAACAAAACAAAACAGAAAGGAGACTGTCTGTGAATTAAAAAAAAATAGATGGATGTGTTTGATGTGTGTGTGGACAGAGTTTAGTCTTGTGTATTGCTGTAAAATCTGTGAAGATTTCTAAAGAGGCATGAGTCAACTGAGTTTTAGAAAAAGAAATCTGAAGGAAATATATAAAACAGATTATAGGGCAGTTAGATCTGGAAGATCATTTAGGGATCTTTAATAATATCTCTCCGCCGGGCTCGGTGGCTCAGCCTGTAATCCCGCGCCTTTGGGAGGCTGAGGTGAGTGGATTGCCTGAGCCCGCGGGTTCGAGACCCGCCTGGGCAGCGAGACCTCATCTCTACAATAAATAAAAAAAAATTAGCCGGGCATGGTAGCACATGCCTGTAATTCCGGCTACTTGGAAGGCTGAGGCGGAAGGATCGCCGGAGCCCAGCAGGTCGAGGCTGCGGTGGCCGGGAGCGGAGTCCGGGCCCCCGAGTGAGACTCCAACTCCAAAAAAAAAAATAAAAAAAAAAAAAAAAAAAAAAAAATAATAATATCTCTGGTAATCAGTTCTTTTTTAATTTTTAAAAATTTTAATAGTTTTTTTTTGTTTGTTTGTTTGTTTTTTTTTTTAGTTAGAGTCTTACTCTGTCACCCAGGTTGGACCCCAGTGTCGATCTGTTAGACTCAGGCAATCCTTCTGCCTCAACCTTCCAAGTAGCCGGAACTATAGGAGTGCGCTACCACACCCGGCTAATTTTTTAATATATTGTGGAGACGAGGTCTCAGCAAGTTCCCCAGGCTGGTCTTGAACCCCTGGACTCAGGCAATCTTCTCGCATTGGTCTCCCAAAATGCGGAAATTACAGGCTTGAACCACCGTGCCCTGCCAATTTTAATAGTTTTAGGAGTACAAATGGTTTGGAGTTACATAGATGTATTGTATAGTGGTAAAGTCTGGGCTTTAAGTGTACCTGTCACGCGCACTATTGCACATTGTAGCTGATACATGATTTTTCATCCCTCCTCCCTTTCCAGCCTCCCCCATCTGAGTCTCCAATGTCTATTATACCACTGTATATGCTTTTGCAGACCCTTAGTTCAGCTCCCACTTACAAGTGAGAACATGAGGTATTTGATTTTCCATTTCTTCTTTACTTCACTTATGATGATGGTGTCCAATTCCAAGTTGCTGCAAAAGACATTATTTCATTCTTTTTTATGGTTGAATAATATAGCATGGTGTGTATGTATATATACACATATATGTGTGTGTACACATACACATACACACACACACACACACACACACAAAGTCTTCTCCATGCAAATGAGTTCCATTCCAAGAGCACATTCATAAGTCCAATTTGTTCATAAGTCCAACTAAGTTAGCCTAGGTACCCAACTAACACAATCAGTTATATAGTTCTGTACTATAATAGATTTAGAATATTTTTCACACAAATAATATATAACAAACAAACAGGCACAAAAAATAAGTAAATGTATCAACTACATCATCACTGCTTGCACTCTTGCTTCTAGACATCCTGGGCTTGAAATAAAAATACTGTACTACTGTACTCTACACAATACTGTATAGTTAAGTACACAAAAGCACAATCATTTGTAGAGGATGCAGAGACATGTGACAATGTATGCCAGACATGTGAACTAATTTATGTGATTGGACATATGAACACATGTTCACATCTTTGAAAGTTGGCAACTTGAGGGTTTGTATGTAGGAACTTACCATACATATATACATATATTCCATGGTGTGTATTCATTACTCGCTGATCAGTTGATGGACATTTAAATGATTCTGCATCTTTGCCATACCTACGTATCAATTTTCTAATTTTCTAATATTTTACTACAGT